AAAATAAGAAATCAGGAAGGGGGCAAACACTTTTTCACACAACTGTACATGTTTCAGGATTCTTATCAGCCAGCTGATGAAGTGTACAGGTTTTGTTTTACCAGATTCAGCTCTCAGGACAGATTTGTCTCATCAAACCAGACAGTGTTTTCCTTATTCTCTTGTGCTGTTTGACCAACTAAAATTTCCCTCAGGAGTTGGAGGAGCTCAAAACAGAGCTTAAAGGAGAGTTAATATTGGACTTGCATGAATCAGGTGGACACAAACACGGCTCCAAACGAATGCTTATGTTGCTGAGTGTCTGTATAGTAGGCAGATGTTTGCTTGCATGTAGCCGTATCAACAGGATATGTTAGTGGCCTAAAAAAAACCTCTTATTTTGCATGGCAGACAAGGACATTGGATCCATCTCAGTTTTTGTTTTAATCTCTCAGCATAAGGTCCAAACTGTAAATCAGGTACAGTAATTGTTATGTCTGGTCATTCCACTCTTGATCAGATGTTCGAGCAGAACCTGCAGGTTGCAGCGCAGATTGATGGGGATTTCAAAGAACAGGTTTTGAAGCTCTGCCTGAAACAGATGAACACTTTCCTCATCAGGTAACTTGTTTCCATACTTTCTTTCTGATGTGCTAAAGATATCTAAAAGCTATCCTTTAGGTTGATGGGATTCATTTCACCACACACACCAAAAGCTCAACGATTAATGATGTTAGATTCTTTCTGAATTTAAGGTCAAATAAAAAATATCTGAAACATTATAAAACCTGGGTCATTTTTCATCTGTCTATCACTACCCTTTATATACTGGTTCTATGTAAACGGCGATCAAGAGAACAAACTACAACAATTTCTAACAGGTGTGTGTGTGTGTCGTTGTGTGTAGGTACAGAGAGGAGGCGGTGACCTACAAGGAGGAGCACCTGAGAGAAAGACAGCTGCCTCAGTGTTATGTACACTACATGATAGCCATCATCAACAACTGCCAGACGTTCAAGTAGGAGTCTATTTTCTACATGATTAACAAGTGTTCGTACGAGCCAGAACTGTGGCTGACCACAGGGACATTTAGCAGTCAGACAGTGTAGCCCGTGGGCTATCTAGCACAAAGAATAGTGCCTGTCAATAATGGCCTTAGAAAAGCCACAGGAAGGATGTCGTGCTTGCTTCTCTTAGACCTGCAAAATACAGAACCAAAACACGGATCTGCAGAGCAATGAACCAGCAGTAAATGCCAGGCCAACAGCGAGGAGATCAAAGAGGACGAGTGTAGGCTACCACGTGGTAGTTCTAGCTAGGTGTGGAGTGCGAGGAGACGTATCCACTTTGTTTACGGCCACTGACACACAGGAAGGAATGAAACAGAACTATCATTACTAAACTGTGATCAAGGTCTCTCAAACAGTTACATTTGATCCCTTTTTTTCTGCTGATTCGATCCGTGACTCAAAATGGTGATACAGTCAGAAGCGTGAGTTTTGTGATCAGTCTCACCCCAACCTATAACAGTGTATAATGCTATGTTTCACGTTAGTTTGTGTACTGTAGAATAGCCATTCAAATTCACTAAACCTCATCTGCCTAGTAATCCCACTTTTCAAAACAAAGCACCATGGCAACCGCTATTGTACAGAGGATCTTACACCTACTAAGAGCTAGGTGTAAGATAAAGGCTGTAACCAGGCGGCAACCTCCGGTTCTGACAAATGGAGCCATGCTTAAGTGTCTTAAAGCTGCATTCTCTCTAGTGTCCACCAGGGGCGACTCCTCTGGTTGTATGAGAAAATGACTCTACTTCTCTCTTGATTTATTACCTCAGTAAACATTGTAAACATGAGTTTATGGTCTCAATCTCTAGTTTCAACTCTTCTTCAATACAGCATGATGTTCATTTAGTAACTTATGGTCCATTTTAGAGTCAAACAGACCATAAAGCAGGGGATGCTTTAGGGCGGGGCTACCTTGTGATTGACAGGTCAATACCAGAGCCTTAAACAGTGTCTTTGTCACTTCTCAACAGTCCAAATATTATTGCTTTCGCTCACTGGTTGCAAAAAAACAAGATGGCGCTGGCCAAAATGCTGAACTCGAGGCATCAAAACCTCCATACTATTGTCACAGTCCAGCTGGTGCACGTCCACTTCTTATACGCAACCCTTAAAATGCTAGTACCGTGTAAACTCCGACCTAAATTAGAAATTTCGTTCAAACTAGGCTACGTTCGAATTTATGTCTATTTGGTGCAACCCGGTGCTGGAGGCTAAGCTAGCGGAGCTGGCCAAATGGCTTACGACAAGCATTTGTTTAGCAAAACTGCTGTTTTATTTATATAATTTACACAATTTATACATCTCCTGTCTGTTTTTATTTATGTGGTGTCGAACACTTTGGGGTTCCATATTGTAATGCATCACGTTGTGTTCCTCAGAGAGTCCATCAACAGTCTGAAGAGGAAGTACTCTCAGTCATCAGAGCCCACTGACAGTGATGCTGCCATAGAGAAGACGCTCAATGAGGTGGCCAAGGAGGGATGTCAGTTCCTGTTGGATGAAGTCTTTCTAGACCTCGAGGTAAGGAGGAAATATTGTCTGCGTTTTTTTGTCTTTATTTCTCATGCAGATTACCATCTTATTGACATCAGTACATTTATTACATGAATATAACGTTCATGGAGGGCTTGCATAGGGTGAGGCTTTGCTGGGTTTTATTGAGGTCTTTGTGCCACTGCAGCGTGGGCGGTGCATGCAGATGAATGGTGCCCTTTGCCGAGGTTCCTTACTGACTCGCCGAGTGGCATGGGGAGAGGAAGGGGGCGTTCATCTGCATGTGCTGATGAACTGTGGTGACTGTGGAAAGCAGACGATTTACTATGAGGCAAAATATCAAGGCAGTAACGTAAAAAAACACAACAAAAATGAACTTAACGTCATTTTAAAGGGTTTTTCCATATTTTGTCATGAATAAAAAGACCCGAAACAAACACTGAAAGTGGACTACTTGATTACTATAAGTGAATTAATTAAAGAGCATCAAGCTTCTGTCCAGAAATTTTTCATCCATACGAGTGGTTAATCACTACAGCCTTATACATCTGCATATAAGTGGCTCAGTGATCAACAATAAAAGGCTCCAGTGCATTTGATTGCTTTGATTTTGACATTGCATTGACCAGCATCACCTGAATGAGCTGCTGACCAGGAAGTGGGTAACAGGCTCTCATGCTGTGGACACCATCTGTGTGACTGTGGAGGACTACTTCAATGACTTCAACAAGATCAAGAAACCCTTCAATCAGGTAGGACGGGAGCAGAACACTGTGCTCTTAACAGGGTGTCTCGAAAAACAAATAAATTCTTATGAACCTTAATGGAGACTCGCCATCCCACAGCCCTGTACCGTGATTGATATGTCGGCTGTGGTGTGTGCAGGAGATGACGAGCGAGGCCCTGCGCAGGGTGGTGGTGGAGTACATTAAAGCAGTGATGCAGAAGAGGATCACCTTTAAGAACGCAGATGAGAGGAGGGAGGGAGCTGAGAGGATGATCAAAGAGGCGGATCAGTTCAAGTTCCTCTTCAGGAAGCTGGCCGCTGTAAGTCCACATGTCGCGGTTTCTCTATCCTGCAACACTATTCACTTCCAGCACAAGCATTACAGTTGTAACTAACAAGAGTTGTTCTGATACCAGTACCAGAAATGTGTCCGATACAGCCTAAAATGCCGGACCGGATCACGTCGTCATATCATTTATCAGCTCATTTACGCTACGCAGGAACAGCAACACGTGTCACTGACCACCCGATGCCATACATCCTGCACATGTGCAAACTAGTACCACACACCTGGGGTTAAACACTCTTGTGCATCCCATTTTTCTCCCGATAATGTGACATTGTGAACAACAAATCTGTGTTAAAATCGACTATAGGAGAAGTAGTTAGCATTAGCTGTTAGCAGGCAGTGGGCAGCACAGTCCTTCTTGGCTAAATAACAGAGAGCAGCTAGCATTATATGGATGTTTCGCAGCGATATCAAATAGATATTAAAGAGGGATTTCTGAGCCGTTTAAGGTCCTAACATTGGCTCTAAGCAGCTCAAAACTACAAATGCCAAGATTTTGAATTAATAACAATGTCCTTTATTGTTTGAATTGTGTGTTTGGGAGATAAAATTGGGGAAAGTAAAAATGGTATCAGATCATCTTCATAACTAACAATTAACTACTGCGTTGAGTTTAACAAATCCATCAACCAATAGCAATAGCTGTCAAAACACGCAATGACAGCTTGACTGTTGGGTGCAGGGTGAAGACACAGACCGGCTTTGTGGCGCCATCGCGGCCATCGCTGAAGTGTTCAAGCTGACTGACCCCACGCTGCTGTTCCTGGAGGTCACCACTCTGGTGTCCAAGTATCCTGACATCAGGTACACACACACACGGCTGATATTCAACATATCAAACCTAAAGTGCGTTCTAGCGATATACCCGAGTCCGAATACATTGTTCGGGAAAGCACAAATAATGCGATGGAAACGGATGATTTCTTCTCACCGAAGTTGCTCATTATTATTTGGGAGAAAGAAATGATTGACATGTCTGTGCGTCAGTAATGTTTTTTTCATATCATTGTGGCCACAAGATAAAAATGAGCGTTCTGTTTGCAAGATAGGACTTTGATTTCACTAAGTGGTACTTGAGTTTATTACACATTATCAAAAAATGATTGCCATGCTAGTCACTGAGTCAGCGAATAGCAGGCTGAGAGCTGACTTTGTGCCCATTGTTCCGAAAACACCAATAGTGTGAAAGAATGCCCAATTTGTCCGACAGCCCATTGTTTTAAAAATACACTTTCTCCCTGGAACAAACAGAAGCACATGGCTGATCATTATTACATTACATTACAGTCATTTAGCAGACACTTTTATCCAAAGCGACTTACAATTCAGATTCTATCACATTTCTACACCGTAGGCACAGCTACGGGAGCAATTTGGGGTTAAGTGTCTTGCTCAAGGACACATCGACATGCCACTAGCGGAGCCGAAGTTCGAACCGCCGACCCTCTGATTGAAAGACGGCCCTGCTATCCACTTAGCCACAATCGCCCATTATGCAAACCCACAACCTATTCAGAGAGGGGGGGGGGTGAGGTTGTGGAAGTATATTTCACAATAAATTATACACCAATACAAAATACATTTGATGCTTTGAAGGCACAAAATTAAATTGCCAATGAATATTAGGTAAGATACACCATTCGCCCAATTTAGTGTGACTTCCTGTATGAACCACGCCGACCTACGGTCTTCTATCTGAATGCAAGCACAGAGACGGACGTCCCTGTACACCATTAGTGCATATACTTTACATTTGTCTTTGAATCATGTTATAATAAAGGTCTTTAAGTCCATTTGTGAAGGATTTGAAAATGTTTGACACCCAGTGGTTAAATACATAAACTGTTAAAGATGGCACTGGGTGCTGCTTCTGGGATTGAGTTTTGGACTCTAATGTGTCAGTTGCCAAGTCAAAGGGCCAGTGTGTGGAATGTAAGGGCATCTATTAGCAGAAATAGACTAAGATATTCATAACGATGTTTTCATTAGTGTATACTCACCTAGGAAACTAGGAATCATGCGTTCGTTTGCTTGGCAGGATCCCTTCATTATCTACAAAGGGAGCTGGTTCTCTTCATTGAGTCTGCCATGTTGCACCGCCATTGTTTCTACAGTAGCCCAGAATGCACAAACCAAACACTGGATCTAGAGAGAGCCTTTTGGTACCGCCAGCCGCCGTCTGACTTCTGTAGCTCCTAAAGTAGTGTTATTGTGGTAAGGACGGTGTTTCCATGGTTTTGCACTCAGTGGCTCTCTTCAGTGCAGTCTTGGAAAGAGAGGAGCGAGTGGAGGTGTTTTCAATTGGTTGCAATCTGCAACCACACCACTAGATGCCACTAAACCCCACACACTGCTCCTTTAAGTTAACATTGTTGCTTTAGAGTCATTCCTTTGTCCCAGTAAGCATGACACTAGTCCAACATCCACAGTACCAAGCCCATGAACTGGCACACCTAAATGGAATGCAACCATTAAGAATACTGTTAATTACACCCAATCTTATAAGTGCCTTTGATGAGTTTCTATATAAATGTTATCCTCGGCCCATCAGGTGGTAGTCAGAGCAGGTTGGTGGTAACACGTTAACCCTGAGGTCTCTCCACAGGGAGGAGCACATCCAGGCGTTGCTGGCAGTGCGTGGTGACGCCAGCAGGGAGATGCGCCAGATGATCATTGGGACCCTCAGCGAGAACAAAGTATCCTACTCTGGTCTCACACAGCCCATCTTCAAAGACATCACCGTGCCCACCAACACCATGACTACCATGACCTCCATGGCAACTGCAAAGCTGCTCAAATAAGGGCAAAAACCACGACACTATTTCCACCTTCAGACACGATAACATAAGCAAACTTCTATTTTCAGACACTCAGTTATTTTTGACTGTTTAATGCAGCTTGCTGTGTTTTCTGTCCCCACCCTTTATTTGCTGTTTTTATTGTCACCATGATCACGTCTGTCAATAAAATATCAAAATAATAGTTGTAATATTGTGTGGTACGACTATTATTTAGAGGTTGAAGCACCACAGGATGCTTTTCTTCTCCGTTTTTCCACTTATTTTTCTGCTCATCCTGCTGCTTCTCCACCACGACTGTCCTTTGACTTGTGTGCAGATGTCACAGTTAAAGCTGCTATGAGGAGCTTTCATTTTCTGTTGATTCTAGCAGCCCCTGTGGACGAAAGTGGTAGTGTTTTCGAGCACCAGAGTCCCTTTTGAAAACCTCATTTTACTGCAGCAGGGTCTGACAGTCTCCCCCTCTCAGTCCGGGTTCTGGTTCTGGTTCTCCCGTTTCTCCCTTCCCTCCAGCGGGTCCAGCAATACGGTCTTGGTCACCAGCAGCATGGTGTCTGTGTTGACTCCCAGCGGGGACCGGAGGAGCAGAGAGGAGAAGCTCTACTCCTGGCCGGAGGAGGGGAGACGCTGCTGAGCTCTCCAGCTCCCGTCGGAGCTCTGGCTGCAGTGAAGCCGGATCTGGGTCTGTCCACGGCGGACTGGTCTCTGCCAGAGGTCCTGCTGGAGTCTTAGCCGAAGGAGCTTCTGGTGAACCTGAAGGATTTCGTTTGCGGACGTCACGTAGAATCCGACCCGGTGGCACTGATGACGAGCATTAAGAATATCTATAGAAAATTGACAATGATGGTCTAGACGCCTTACGTAGGTCATATAGGGGCACCAGTATTAAATGAACTGTTTGATAACCAGTTAAAAGAGAACTGAGAAGTTAACTAAAATAACTGTAGATAAGATGAAGGTTCAAGAGTATCACCAGATCCTCCCACAGTCTGTATCACCTGCTCTCCTGTTCAGGTCTGATAGATCATATACACATTACATATAATATACATATTGTTTTGCATTCATTTTAAAAGCAGACATTCCATGTGCAAAAATTGCACAAAATTCTGTAAACCCTCACACAGCAGAGGAAAACTTCTGTATCAATGAGACGATGTTCAATCTACACAGGTGGCGTACAAGTTGGACGTTAATAAAGAAATGCTGCAGAGAAAGAATACGTTTTAAGAATTAAATATGCTGTCTCCGACTAGATAATGTGGTCCACAGTCTGACATACAGTACATTCTTTCCTTGTGTGATGGTACAGTAATGGTAAATCGACATGTGTCACGATTGCTGTCCAAGGTGCTGATCCTGGGACAGCCAGGGATGTGGACGCCGTCAACTGGAACTGTCCGTGGTACTACTGTTGTCAGACTGTTTAATGTCAGGATATCCTGTCAGAAAGGAGAAAATTATTAAAATTTAACCTTTTATCTAATTTCTGTTTTAAGTAACACTGTACTGTTACTGTCTAGACTTTAGCTAAGACTTTGCTGTCATGCTTTTCATGTTAATTAGTGGTTTGGGCTGATAGTTGAAAGCTATTTACTGATGGTATGCTAAGTATATGCAAGTTTTTACTGATGGATGAAAAGATCCGATGGCAGGTGATTCCAGTGATCGTCAGGATTTACTATTTGAAATAGTGGCAACATGTTTTTTTCCTTTTCTTTGTTGTCTCTTTATTGAACACTGAATAAACCGACATTCAGGAGGTCATGGATGTGCAAAAATGATGTGTTAATCAGATGAGATATGAAAAGGGAAAAAATGTAATATAAAAAGTTTGGCATCGAAATATAACATCAAAAAAGTCAATAAATGTTTATCAGGGGCTACGGAAAAGCATTCAATGTTTGTGTGGTTGCTTTTTTGTCATTAGGGTTAGTGTATTTATGTATATATTTTATTCAACTAGAGAAATATTGAAGTTTGGGAAGGACTTGGAGAATCTTGCTTTATGTATGTGCAATTTACCAATTGCATAAGATTTCTCTTGTCACTCAGCCTTAATGTGACATTCAACTTTAGTGTGAAGATGTTTTGGGCATAGTCGTTATAGAATGTCCAGTCTTGGTTTAAACTATGACTCTGAATTAATGGCAATAAATTCAAGTGTACAACAATTTAGCCCTGACGTCACATTCATTTGGGCTCCCCCTCATATGGGTAAGTAGAGTAACTAAACCAATTTGTATCAGCTTAAAACTAATGTATATGCGAATTAGAAGCGCTTTTGTAGGATTCAGGTCCTAATTAGTGCAAAGTATTTGAATTCTACATATTGTATTATAAATGCTTAGCGACTGCCCTCTACCTGTTGAAACCGGGCTATTGCGACTGAATTTTGCCATTGGTTGATCTGGAGGCAGGTGATATGAATCGCTAATCACTAGCATAGCCATATCTCAGCCCCAGCAGTTATTAAGCTAATTGGAAGGGGGACAGCTATCGTGAACGTTAACTTAAACTAGAAAATTCCGCAGGAAATTTTGACAGTGTGGCTGCTACTGCCCGAACACGTAGCAATATATAAACACGCCGATGTTACCGGTAGTATCGTTGAGGTTCGATTGAGATATCGCTTTTCTCTTTTCTGCATTTTAAATTCATACTCTTGGATTGAATCTTGTATTTGTGATGGACAGTCCACAAATGGCTCCCATCATTTCTGTATTGGAGATATACTGTACATCTTTGTTTGAGATACATACCTTTGAGAATTACATTTGTGTATTTGTGATGGAAAGACTTAACATGAACCTCATTCTGAGCTTCATGTTAAGATACCGTTACTCTGTGGGGCTTTTATTTTGAAAGGGTGGAACTGGGTGGGGGAGAGGAGACAGAATCATAATGTTTGACACACATACACAGGTTAGTAAATAGCAGGCTTCATCAAAAGCATTCCAGTTAGAATTCACTCTGTGGGGCTTTTATTTTGAAAGGGTGGGACTAGGTCGGGGAGAGGGCGGGAGAGGAGACAGAATCATGTTTGACAAACATATTGAGAGAGAGAAAGACAGACAGGAGGTCCAACAATGCCTTTGACTGAATAGCTCAAAGTCATGTTTTTGTGTGTGTGTGTGTGTGTGTGTGTGTGTGTGTGTGTGTGGAGAGAGAGACAGAGAGAGAGCGTGCATGTGTGTAACTGGTTGCCATGGTGAGGACGCACCTGGTGTTAGAAGCAGACTGATTAAGAAACGTTACAGTAAACAGTGATTTTGAACAAACCCCCTACCTTCTTTTAACAAAAAGCAGGAGTCTGAGTGCCAAAATATGGATACCATGAGAGAGATAAGACTCTGTCGAACGCACTGATGTGTTTTTTATGTTTGTGGTCTTAAAAATGTGAGCTCCAGAGCAATATACAAAACTGGTACCGTCTGCGTTCTTTGAGAAATGAGTGGTGAGATTTAACATGGAGTCTAATGGAACAGTTGGTTGGAGTTCATGTCGCTCTGCGGCTCTTTGAGCCACATGTGTAAGTCTGTGGGATTCCACAGACATCTGTGTGCGACAGCACAACATTTCCAAGCTTTTTGGTCAAAAATGGTAAAAATTGTGGGACTCGGCGCAATTTGTTCTTAAAAATAACAGATTTTTTTCCTGCTCCGCTCCACTCTGACAGTTATGCTCTCACTCTAGCGCTGAACATTCCATGAAATACACACCCATTATAAAATCTGAAACGGACCCAAAATTGTCCTGAAACTTAATCTGTGACTTCATGAAAACTGTGCTAGCTATCAAAATGTCCATTTGGCTCAAAAAAGTGCAGCATTTTGTCTACGTTTTAAACTTAAAATCATTGTTCTACGTCAGGGATTCCCAAAGTGGTGCGCGAGAGGAAAAATGTAATGGTGGTCTAATGGTGTAATAATTATTAAATAAAAGAAATTAAAAGAATTTAAGTGGGATTTTTCACAATATAAAAAAATTCCCTTTGTAAGATTTAAATTTAAAAACGTACAATTTAATAAATAAATGCAAATAAATGCTAACTTCATTCATTCAGCAACGTTCATGCAAATATGCTAAATTGGCTGAAATCTGGGAAACTGTCACGTGGGACATCTGAAGCTATCAGTCATAAAAGAGGAGAGGGACAGAGAGAGAGAGAGAGAGAGAGAGGAATCGGAGGTGAGAGAAACGGAGAGGTGCGTTGGGGAGAGACCGGGAGAAGAAATCGAACGGGAGTCAGAGAAAGATGAGACCGAAAAGGAGGAAGGGATAGCACAGACAAATCGGGAGCACATAGGCCCATCGCGGAGTCAAGGTGAAACAAGAGGAAACGAGAGTGAGCATCAGACTGGGAAAAAAAGAGAGAGAAAATGATCTGGTCTGGGCTTCACTTGGATTGGCAATGCAGATTGCCCAAAGCCACAGTGCGTGGTGTGCAGTGAGGTTCTGGCTAACAGCTGTCTGAAGCCCTCTTATTTACGTCGCCACCTGAACACCAAGCATGCCAGTGCAAGTCAAAAGCCCCTTACATTTTTATATCGAAATTGGAGGAGTTACAAAACAGCCAAAAACAACTGCAGTCTCATTCATGTCTTGGGTCTACAAAAAACGCACTACGGGCTTCTGGTCACAGAATAGCAAGAAAGGGGCTACCTCACACAATCGCCGAAGACGTGTGCTTGCCAGCTGCCAAAGAGATGGTGGAATGTATGACTGGAGAGAGAGAAGCAAACAAGTTGGACATGATCCCGGTGTCCAACAACACTGTGTCGATGCTTTGCCCGAAGACATCCTGGCTACATTAATCGGTCGCGTGAAGAAGAGTGAGTTCTACTCTCTGCAAGTAGACGAGTCTACACATGTGGCCAATCTTCTGGTGTACGTCCGTTACCTTTTCGAAGGCACGGTGCAGGAAGTTTTTTTTGTCATTTTTGTGTTTTTTTATCTTGTAAACAAACGCCACGCGCGAGCAAACTGTTCTCTCATTGGTCCGATTTTTATGCGGCTATAAATAAACTCTGCTGCTTTTTTTTTTTTTTAAGGTGTGGGGGATTGGGGGTGCGTGGCCTAAAATGTTTGGGAACCGCTGTTCTACGTTAAAGTATGGCTAGTCAATATGGGCCCAAAGTTAAATGTTTTTCGCGATTTTCGGGAAAACCGCTGTGCTAATCTCTCTAGAAAATACATAACACACGATTCCATCAGGCCGCAAGTTTTGATGTATTTTTTGAGCAGGTGTTGGAAACGCTGTATGAGGAGAAGCACGGCAAAACTTTCTGGTGGATAAAGATTATTAAACCCGATGGATTTAGTGTGGATTTAGTGTGGCTTTGTAGCACAAAGGCAGTTTTACTGCCTTTGTGCTACAAAGCCACACTGTATAACAGTAAAGTCTGGCTAAATGTTAAAGTAACATAGAGCAAGTCCAACAGTTAATATGTGGCTTATTATATCTTGTAACTTTAGCATGGACGCGTTGTAGAATTAGCAAGCTAGCCAGCTAGCTATTCAGCAGCTAAGTGTTTAACTGAATGCTTCATCCGCACTGTAGTGACTTTAACAAATATCCATTTTATATCTTAAAGCCACTGGGGGGTGAACGGGAGAACTTGTTTGGACGCGTGTTCCACAAACATTTCACTGTCCAGTGCGCTGTCTTTCTTTCAATCCGTTGATCCATTTATCCCATTTGCACATTGACACCCTAGCACAGGGGTGTCAAACTCATCTTCACTCTGGGCCACATCAGCATCACGCCCTGAAAGGGCCGGTTGTAAATGTAAGACTGTGTAAATGTAACTACTCCTAACATATTGGTAAATAACTGTCTCTGCATTTGATTATTGTTTATTCAAGTGTAAAAATATTGTACATGCAGTTATATAAATGTATAAATATATTTAAGCACATTTCTGTTATAACTTAAATCCTTTTAATTTAGGGTTAAGAAACCCACATTACTCTATCAAAGATCAAACTATTAAAGAAAATAGCAAAGACAAATATCAAACACAAGTTATTACAATAACTTTGTTCAATGCTTAAAATCCTTTCAAGGGTGCGTTTGCACAATCCCACGTGAAGTATTTCATCTGTTTTAAAGCCACGTTTAAAGTAGTCTTCAATGTACTCACAATACATGTCATGTCAAGTGTACAGTAACCAGCCAAAGAGCTGCTTCTGTGACTGTGTGTTTAAGTATCTCATAATTTTGAGTTTCTATTTCATAATTTTGACTTTCAATCTCATAATTTTGACTTTCAATCTCATCATTTTGACTTTCTATCTCAGAATTTTGACTATGGGTATATTTTTATTGTCAAGTCTAACTTTAAAAAACAATTTTTATTTTTATTTTTTTTTAACTTTTTTTTTTTTTTGCTGGTGGATTTGCGGGCCACATAAAATGACGTAGCAGGCCGGATTTGGCCCGCGGGCCGGGAGTTTGAGACCCCTGCCCTAACAGAACACTACAGGATACTTGACAGGACAATACAACACCTTGAATCTCCACGCTGACACGCTGGCTGACACGCCACATTGACACGGTCGAAAACTGTTGGCTTCCCATCTACACACCTGATTCTCATTACCAGGCACTTACCTATATGTATTTTTAGGTCAATGTGCCACCCACTGTTCAATGTCAGAACTGCATGTGTAAACCCACCCCGTTTTTCCCTCAAAAACATAAGAAAACAAGAAAACTACACTATGGCTCCAACACGCACACTTGTCACATCAGAAGAAAGCACATTGCTATTTACTTTGAGTCATCGGATTTTGTAATGTTTCATGTTCTAGAGCAGAGGTCTTCAACAGGGGGTCCGCGACCCCTAGGGGGTCAACGGAGGTACTGCAGTACTGTCCGCGAAATGTTTGGTTGATTAGACAATTAAACATTTTTTTTTTAATTTTTTTTTTCCAAACATGATTCTGTCCATTATTTTAATAGTTCAGTACTGTATGCAAGATAACAGGTATGTTTATGCATGCAGTGGCACTAATAGGCCATCACTCATTTTCGTTTCCAGATTTATGTTTAAAATAAAAACGTCAATTTGAATAGCTTGTATGCATGATTATCATGCATACAAGGCATTGGTATCAGTCAGTGGTGTATAGTAACGAAGTAGAAATACTTCCTTACTGTACTTAAGTCGTTTTTTTGGATATCTGTACTTTACTTTACTACTTATATTTCTGTTGACTTTTACTTTTACTTCACTACATTTTGCAAAGAAAACTGATACTTTTACTCCGCTACATTTCCCCTGAAACCTTCGTTACTCACTACAAAATCAAATCTATCTTTAGAAACAAAATGAATCATGAGACCAGCGTCGGGGACTGTGGTGGAACACAGACTGCAACAAGCAGGTTTGGTGAATCAGTGGTCCTAGCTTGCAAGTTAAATCATTGGTTAATCACGTCAATGCGCAATTGCAAACAAGTGCTCTCAAAGCCGCGGTGTTTAGATTCCCAGTGATACCCAGGATGCTATATGCTATAGCTAGCGAGCGACTACATGAGCAGAATTCCACTCTACGATGACTGATTTCATGATGGAAGCAGAAATGGAAGCACCTGCTACTCCCGCAACAAACAACGGTGGTGACGAAGACCAACACCCGTGGATCGCTAGCGAGTTAGTGAGCTGAGGAAGTGTTGTGCAGCACTAGTTGGCTAACGTTAGCCAACTAGTGCTGAAAATATATGTCAATAACGACGCCTGCATTGAGTCGGAGGAGAGTATTCGATTACGTTTGTAAAAGATCTGTGAGAACTAGAAGAGGAGGATGAAGAACATATTTTCATGTTTTGGTGTTTCAGTGTGAAAGCTGAGCTTTTAGAGTTATCTAGTTAGCCTTTTGTGAACATTATAGTATTTTGAGACCATTTTCTCAAACGTTAGCTAGCCACCACACCATAGGATTGACAGGAGCCGCGAGAGTGCAGCATTAGTGTTAGCATTAGGGTTAGCATTAGGGAAATCCTTCCCAGCTGTGCGCAAGCTGTGTGTGAAGCTGAACACACCTCTACCTGCCTCAGCGGCCTGTGAAAGGCTGTTTAGCATCGCAGGACTAGTCTTCAGTCCAAGAAGAGCGAGACGGAATTCTCGCAATTTTGAAAACCAACTTCTTTTGAAGATGAACAGGACATTTTTCAGTTTCAAGTAATGACTGTGTTGTTACTTTAGTATTGATCATGTTTTGATATTTGAGTCATTTTGTGGATGATCAGATGGAGTTATGATGGTAGCAGTCGCCCAATTGCAGATTCAGCTTGAGCAAAACCTTTGCCCATTGTGTTCAAATCAGGCCCATAGGAGTTTACAAGGCAGGTGTCCTTTCTCACAACAGTGACCTGATGCATCAAGTGGATATTTTTTGCTGAACACAATATTATGCATTTGCCCTCTACATCCTCTAGTCAGAATGAGCATACTTATAAACACACGGTTACGACTCCTTCATAGTGTCATATTGCTTTTCGGAGAATTATGATGATAAGTTCATAGTAGATGCAAAAGTATACTTATGTACAATATATTATGTTGAACATTGTTGCTCCTGGATGGATCACAGCAACCCAATTATTGTCAACACAGCTCCATGTCCTTGGTCATGGTGGCCACTTAACAGAATAAACTTAATAATTCTCAAAATTCTGACCTTTTGCTTTTTTATTAACAGCATTTACTTGTACTTTTACTTTCAATACTTAAGTACATTTAATATCAGAAAATTACTTTTGATACTTAAGTACAATAAATATCAGATACTTTAAGACTTTTACTCAAGTAGTATTCTACTAGGTGACTTTTACTTTTACTGGAGTAGTTTTCCAGGAAGGTATCTTTACTTTTACTCAAGTATGGCTTTTGGGTACTTTATACACCACTGGTATCAGTTGACAAGGTATGTTTATAAATGGCAGTGGCACGGCCTCCCTACTCACTGTACCTTGCACATGTTTAAAATAACAACATGAATATATGAACCTGTGTATTATTTGAATAGCTTAGTATTGAATGCACAATAAAGAGGTATGTTTATACATGGCACTAGGCCCAGTTTAATTTAAAACACAATTTTATACAATATATATAGTCGGGGTCCCTGCTCCATCTCTCTATCAGTTTGGGGGTCCTTGGCCTGAAAAACGTTGAAGACCCCTGCTCTAGAGGCATTCTTTTGAGTTTCCAGGTTGGAGGCACTTCAGCCAAAAATATTAGATTTAGTTACTTTTTAATGTAAGAGTGGATAAAGTATCCCAACATGCTGTCAAAAAAGAAAACTTGTGTGTGCACTTTCAAACTCAAAAGGAAAGGGCCATGGGGAATATCAGGGCACTGTAGGAGTTCACTAACTCAACACCAGATGGCAGTAATGCAACACTAAGGACGCAAACTGCCATTGAATTTCGGAGAAGAAGAAGAAGAAGAAGAAGATGGAGTCAGAAACAGGACGTTGCGTCTAATCTGGGAACCTGCAGACTGCTGAACATCAGTAAACCCGAACGGCCGCGGATCACCGACAACGGGACTCGAATTGGGTAAGTGTTTGACAGCTCAACGAATGTGGCTACTGCTGTTTACCGCTGCTAAGCTAACGCTGTAACCAGTTTAACGCTAGGTTCGCTAAAGTGAGCGGCTAACAGCAGGCTACCGCCTCAAGCAAAACAATGTCGGTGAGGTGATATTCTTCACTGGGTCAGACCGTGTCTTTCCGGTTCGCGCCGCTGTTCCTTTCTGCCCATTCACGTTTTGCCCGGTAGCAGCAGCGCCTCGTAGTCACAGAGAGATAAACAAACTAACGTTAGCTAGCGGCACTACTAAAGCTGGACTCGTCGGGTTTAACGTTCGGCGTTAAAATCATTCAGTTAATCCTCAAATTAGCGTTCACGTCTTCACGCTAACGCTTTATATGACCTTAAAATGATGTCATGAAGTGATGAAACCCGGTTCAGTTGTTGTTCATAAGTATGGAGATTCCTTACTGTGGTTATAAGTTGTTGGTAAATAATACCAACCAGGAGCATGTTATCATGTGAAATGTATTTCTCTATGATTTTGGACGGCATCAATCTTGATGTTGTATTTTGTTTAGCATTTGATTAATTCCCTTTCTTCTTCATACATAGTTTCTTGCCTAATTGTCTCCATTTTATTATTCAGTTTGGCTTTGTAGCACTGTGCCAAAGCACACTGTATATAATCCATCGGGCTTAATAATAATAATAATCATAATGTTTATCTAGAAAGTTTACCGCGCTTCTCCTCACACAGTGTTGCCAACACCTGGGTAAAAAATACATCAAAACGTGCGGCCTGATCGGGAATAGTGTGCTATCTATTTTTCGGAGAGATTCGCCAAGCGGTTTCCCCGGAAAATCCCCAAAAACTGAGCAAAGTTTCTCCATTGACTTGAATGGGGTTTCGGCGTGAAGAGAGCTAAAAAAACACTTAAATTTGGGCCCATATTGACTAGCCATATTTTAACGTAGAAATATGATTCAAAGTTTAAAACGTAGACAAAAAGCTGCACTTTATTGAGCCAAAGGGACATTTTGATAGCCATCACAGTTTTCATGAAGTCACAGATTAAGTTTCAGGAACATTTTGTGTCTGTTTCAGATTTTATAATGGGTGTGTATTGCACGGCTCGTTAAGAGCTAGAGTGAGAGCATAACTGTCAGAGTGGAGCGGAGCAGGAAAATATTCTGTGATTTTTCCAAACAAATTGCTCCAGCTCCCACAATTTTTACTCTTTATACACCATTTTGGCCAAAAAGCTTGGAAATGTTGTGCTGTCTCACACAGATGTCTGTGGAACCCAACGGACTTACACATGTGGCTCAAAGAGCCGCAGAGCGACATGAACTCCAACCAACTGCTCCATTAGACTCCATGTTAAATCTCACCACTCATTTCTCAAAGAAAGCAGACGGTACCAGTTTTGTATATTGCTCTGGAGCTCACATTATTAACACCACAAACATAAAAACCACATCAGCGCGTTCGACAGAGTCTTATCTTTCTCATGGTATCCATATTTTGGCACTCAGACTCTTACTAATTTGTTAAAAGGAGTTGGGGGTTTGTTCAAAATCACTGATTACTGTTATGTTTCTTAATCAGTCTGCCTCTAACACCAGGTGCGTCCTCACCATGGCAACCAGTTACACACCCGCAGGCTCTCTCTGTCCGTCCGTCCGTCCGTCTGTCTCTCTACACACTGACACATGCACACACAAATGACTTGGAGATATTCAGTCAAAGGCATTGTTAGACCTCCTGTCTGTCTCTCTCTTTCTCCCCAATCTCTCTCTCTCACACACGCCTGTCATTTAAAAACCTCTGTGCATGTGTCAAACATGATTATATCCTCTCTCACCCACCCAGTCCCACCCTTTCAAAATAAAAGCCCCACAAATACAAGATTCAATCCAAGAGTATGAATCTAAAATGCAGAAAAGAGAGTGGCGCTATCTCAATTGAACCTGAATGACACTACCGGTAACATTGGCGTGTGTATATATTGCGATTTCTTCGGGCAGCAGAAGCCACACTGTCAAAATTTCTTTTGGAATTTTCTAGTTGTTGTTGTTATTTCAGTGCGCCATATTGGTTCTGAAATACTTCAATGCTTAAAATCATCAAACTTCACAAGTATTGTTCAGTTGATCAGTGTCCAGCACTGAGTTTTTGATCCGAGTGGTGTTTATATCGTGTACAGTGATTGTAATATACAGAGGGAGTGAGTAGGGATCCATAGAATTTACATCAACACACAATTCATAATAACTTCAGTTATTGTGTATGTCATCACAGAGTTATGGAAACATGACCAGTGTGCAGTTAGTTTGTATTGTTTACAGTGATATAAATACAATGTATATGTATGGAATTATTTTTATAGCTATTATTATTATTATTATTATTATTATTATATACAGTTGCTAATAAGAAAAGTCATTGCACTCAAGAATCCCATGGGATTTTAGGACATTGACTCAGTCATCAAAATGGTTCTTGAATGTCCTTGTTGTCCACTTCCTCTGAGCTGCTGCTGTGGACCAGTTCAGAACGACTCGGTGAATAATAGGCTCCATTCTATACCAGCAGCTACAAAGCACCCCTTTGTTAAACACATAACCATGTGAATGCACATCGAAATGAAACCATCTGAAAAGGAAGCTCCACTTTGACAGCTCACAGACATGGGCAACCTGTGACAAGGGGGCACAATTAGACTCAGCTAGAAAATATCACAAGCCAGAAATGTTGCTTTACCTCGCACACTTAATCATCTGCAGTCTTACATTTTCAATCTTGTAGTTTTGTTTTTAAACTGAGGGGGAGCCTCTCAGCACCCTGATCACATTCGCACAGTTACGTTTTTACTTCTGGCTCCACTGGAACGATTTGGGTTAAGGGCCTTGCTCAAAGGCACCTCGGTAGTGGTAATGAGGGTCAAAGTGCTGCTTCTTCACTTTCCCCAACCGGATTTATCCTGCTGCTCACAGGCTCGCTTCTCTAACCTTTGGGCCACCACTGCCCCAAAGTAATGACTTAATTGTATGTGCATATAAGTGTAGGAACATGCATTTAATGCCTGACTTTTTATTACATTTTATTTATTTACTTACTTATTCTTATTGTATTTTATGTAGGAGTCATTTGATTTGTTGATCAATTCAATAATACACTAATTACAAAATAAAAAACGCACAAATTAACTGCATATTCCTACATTAATATTCACCTCAATATATATATTGCAGTACTATTATTAATAATAATTGTTTTGTTTTTTAAATTATTATTGTTTAAATGTGTGAGCCATTTGATTTATTGTCCAGAAAGCATTGCAGGGATGGTGGTCCTTTATGTTCAGAACCAGTATTACACAATACTAACACAAATGTCTTTCCAAGATATAATTATTACACAATGGTAAATTTATGCACATTCACATATTCCTGTGCAATAATCCAAGTTGATGCACAGTTGAACTAACTTTGTGTGTTTTGGGGCCTAATTTGAGCTCTTAACCTATATATTGATATTTATTTAAGATGTATATTTTACATCACTAACGTAGTCGCACACGCTGAAATCATATGAAAGGCTACAGCACTTCCTGTGTGGGACACTGGTCAGCAACTCTTTCTCTCTCTCAGGTTCACCGGGCTCACTGACGCTCCTCCCTTCATCCACTCATCATGGTGGACTACTACCAGGTTTTAGGAGTACGGAGAGATTCGTCTGCGGAGGACATTAAGAAAGCGTGAGTTGATGAAGTTTTTGAAATGTTCCACCTCTGCTGTGATCCTCTGAAACACTTCAGCAGACATCTTGTCCTCCGAATATAGCTGGCTGCTCTACAGCTGATCGATGGCTCTCTATCGGCTGGTCAGCTCTCTACGGAGCTTCATTAGCAACACAGCCACAGAGTGAGCTCAAACTACTGGAGTGATCCATCTGCATCTGAAGGGACACATTTGTAAAGTTTACAAAGCATGCAGCAGTAAAGCGGCGGTGGTGGATCTGAGATTTAAACTTCAAGCTGCTCCCTCTCAGCTTCATGCAAACTGCACTGTATCTGAGTCTGGTAATATCAGGCTGCTTCCCAGTGCGTTCCATCAGCTTTAACCGTCAGAAAGAGCTCACGTCCAACAGACGGGTAGTGATGAACGTTCTGCTGAAACCGAAAAAAATTCTGGTGTAGTTGCTGAAAAATGTGTTTGGTCTTGATTTGCAGAGGGATTGAAGGTTATTTTGTGCTCATTGGTAAGGTTACTCCTCTACCTTCTGTACTTGTTAGCAGGTACAAAGTCCTTCAACTGTGGATCTTATACAAAACTTCCTTTGAGCTTTCTTTGTCAGCCTCCCTGTTGTGTTCGCTGTTGTTCCTCATCAATCACTGAGCAGCCCACACAATGTTCAGTCCTATACACAAACAGAGTTACAACATCCACAATAAACATTATGCTCAGTGCGGGATTTATAAACGTATATGTGGACATTCTGGATTGGATGTCAGCGTTTTGGTGCCATTGTAGGTTAAAAAAAAAAAGAAGAAGTTTGGATTCACTAAAGTCACACAACAACACAAACAGGCTAACTGATGGAGGCAACGGTAGACCTCAAACTCCCCCGTAATACAGGGTCAAATTTGGGTAAACAAATATTTTTTGTCAAAGGAGTGTACAGGCTTTGAGGAGAGCATGGATAACAGCTTCAGTTCCCCCATAACAAAGGACTGTGTGGCAGCAAGGTGAAGCAGTGAACATATTCTACATATAGCTTACACTTAAACTGATGATTCTTTTAAGTGTCTAAAATATGTCCCGTGCTGGTACTCCTCTCTATTACTCCAACTACTGTAGTAATACACTGACGATGGAGAAGAACCTCATAAAACCACACTTCAAATAAAAAAAACAACTACAAAAGCAACCAAATGTCCGTAAGACTGTGCAGTGTGGGGCAGAACATGGCTGATTGTTCTCATCATTAGTCAGCAGCATCATGAGTTCTACATAAAAGCTCACTATTTGATCTCTTCAGTCTGGTGCTGTCAATCAACCGTCTTCCCTCTGTCCTCCTGTAGCTACAGAAAGCTGGCGTTGAGGTGGCACCCTGATAAGAACCCAGAGAACAAGGAGGATGCTGAGATAAAGTTCAAGGAGCTGTCGGAGGCCTATGAAGTCCTGTCAGATGGTTTGTATCACTACTCGGGCCGCAAACAAACACCAGTGGCCCTGTTCACACCTGATCACAAGCGGACACCTCTGAGTACGCCTGTTCACTCCCGGAGAATGCGTCTCCATATATGTCTCGGCGCCTAGTCTGTCAGAAATTAAAAGAGGAAGAACGACAAAGACCAGGTCCAATCCTTGGTGTGTTTCAGGCTTACGCAATTTGAGAACCAGCTGGTGGTGAGAAAAGGGAGGAATAGAAAGGAGAGCCTTCAACGTGGCTTCAACGACTCATTTCCCCCGTTACAGACGCCTTTACTCTACGATAAGGTTTGTGATCATGTTTGTCTCAGACCACCTCGGGCAAGCGGTTTGAGTGATCGGACCACGATTACACTCGTATTCAGAGCTGTTGTTACGCCCGATCCAGGGGCTTGGAAGTGCAGCATGAGAACAAGTCAAACGAAGAGCAGATGAATGCTACAGTTAGCAATTTTATTTGCTGTTGGCACTCACACAGCAATGTTGAAATGATTTACAGAGGTGAAGCTTGTGTTTCGGGGTGAACCGAAGGCCAAAACAATGAGCTAAACAAACTGCTTCAGAATTCGGGCTCAGCCCTAAAACAAAGAGGAAGGACTAAACCTAACTCCCTCGACTAAGCATGAACAGGAGACAACGGCGTTGAACAGAGGGTGATTCAGCCCCACAGAACCTGTCACAGAAAGATACAAAAGGTCGGAATTAGAGCAACACAGTAATAGTACATGCAAACAGCAGTGAAAGTACGGCTGTCAACCCGAGACCAGTGTTATTGCCAGGTGTGAACAGGACCAACATGAAGTGAAGCTCATCGCAACAGCACAGGGTCTGAGTTACTCAGGTGTCTGACTTTCTTCTCTTTGTTGTGATTCTACTTTCCTCTTCCAGCCAACAAGAGGACCATGTATGATCGCTATGGCAAAGAGGGACTGACGGGGAGCAACGGAGGAAGAGGTAAGCTCCAAACTTCTGATGAATCTAAATCAAGTCTTTTTGTTGTGAGAACTTGTTTTAGTTTGAACTTGGAGGTTAACTTGGGTTTGTGTCACTGACAGGCTCTGATTGTCATGAGTGCCTGACAACATAATGAGAAGAGCCCTACAGAGAAATGAAAGCTTTATCCGGTCATGTGACTTGATGCCTGCGACGAGACTTCTCCTTGAGCGAGACTTTGTAGAACACAATGACAAGCAGAGCAGATGTAGTGAACGCGTCAGGACGGCGTGTTGATGGTGTGCAGTGAAGTGAGGTCACAAAGTGCCAGAGTAAATGAGTCCCATTCACACATTCTCGATTCAGCGTAGGAAAGCACATTACTATCAACAGTTGAGGGACAACTTTGTTTGGATTATTTTCTGTTGCCAGTGTAGCATTAAAGCATGGTAGAATCACCATATCAACAACACTCACCATTTTCTTCTGTCGTACTCAAATGACCGTGGAAACAGTTCAATGTTTCAATTCGAGATGCTCCTGAAGCCATTTGATCTTTTTGCCGCTAATAGAGCTTGCTGATGGTGGATGATCCATACCCGCAGGTATAGATGGTTTTGTTTCATCATAGCAGCTGGTACGCGAGGCTCCAGACTGTTATTCATCACCACGTCCAGGAAAACAATTTAAACCGCTCTGAAGTCAGTGTGAAGCATGAAAGATTCTAAATATTATCCTTTTGCTTTGTTAGTCATCTATAGTGGTTATTTGCATAGAATCACACAATTCAAATGATTAGGAAATAACAGATTGTATTATAAGTGGTGCTGGGCAAGTTAAGGCGTTATTATCGCGTTAACGCATTCATTAATTGACGCCGACAATTATTTTATAGCGCGTTAACTCATTTTTTTTATTTTGAAAGTCCGTGGAGGAAGTATAGATAAACAAACACAAGACAAGCTAACAGATGCTACAGAGAAGTGGCTACAAACTGCAGCCGGTTAGAATACACAGCGTTACAACGTGCACCAGCTGTTGCTCTGCCTGGAGACTACTGGACATCGCTGCGGTCAACTCAGCAGACACTTACATGTTAGTGCACCTATATGCTGAAATTCATGGTAAACTCATTCAAACGGCACAGGTCGGGAGCGAGCGAAGGACTTTGAAAGTTAGCGGAAATATTAACGTGAGACAACATCCGGTTTCTTCAGACGAACATCCGGTTTTCAGAATAAGATGCCAACAAAGTATGAATTATATTCACATTAAGTATAAAGCATGCTACCTGCATCTCGTGAGTTAAAGGGAAAATATGCATATGATATAAGAATGATATAATATAAGAAATATGATCACTACTGTGTAAAGAGAATACTGCTGTTAAAAAGCACCTGATGTGTTTAAAGTGTTTGCAAACCAAATGTTATTGCACTTTTGTTCATATAGCAGTACTTTTAAAATAAAAGTGCGCAATACAATACTTTTTTAATTCATTATTGAACTTTGCCATAACAATGCGATTAAACATTGTAATCGTTGCCCATCACTAAGTGTTAGTGAGTTAATCAGGTCATATTATCAGATTTAAATTGCTTGTGAAAACCTCTTAAAACCAATACTCCCTTTCACTGAACATAGCATGAACGCATCATGGTTCACTCAACTGAACCTCCATGTGTTAGCCTTCAGCTCCAATGCTGCCAATGTCAAGCAGCTCGTCTCCGGACCATTTCAACACTGATTTGTTGTTAACAATGTAACGTTATCTGGGATCGGCGTCTAGAGAGCATGAATGTAGAATTAGACTAGTAGGACCAGTAGAGAGAGTGGGGGTGGAGATGGCTGGAATGGTGACAGTAAACGCTGACCCCAGCATTATTGAATGCATCTTGTTATTTCTTTTGTTTTGGTTCGTGTTTGTGTGTTTATCAGTTTTCATCACGTTTTAGGGCATTTCCACAACGGAGACCATTTCCACGAACAGTTCACATTCCGCAACCCAGACGACGTCTTCAGGGAATTCTTTGGAGGCAGCGACCCGTTTGCAGACTTCTTCGGTAAGTCGTACTATATATCAGTGCGTTTCAGAACTACTCATCTCCTGCACCAGTTTTAATAATACTTAAATACTTTACGTCCTGTTCCCTCAGGTACAGATCCATTTAGTGATGATCCGTTCTTCGGCAGCGGCCGGCGGCACCAAAGTCGGGCGAATCGCAACCGGACAGGCGGCTCGTTTTTCGGAGGCTTTGTTGGGTTTCCTCCGTTCGGTGCTGGCTTCTCACCTTTTGACCCAGGTAAGACCGGCACCAATGAATCAATAAAGTCCCCACACCACTGTCACCGGTTTAAATGACTCTCTCTGCCCTGTTTATCCCCAGGCTTCGGCTCCTTCGGCTCCATGGGTCACATGGGTCACATGGGTCATATGGGTCACATGGGTCACATGGCACCCATGGGCAGCCTGGGAGGCGGAGGCTTCACCTCTTTCTCCTCCTCCTCCTTTGGGGGAGGAGGAGGAGGAGGAGGAGGAGGCATGGGCAACTTCCGCTCCGTGTCCAGCTCCTCCAAGATCATCAACGGCAGGAAGATCACCACTAAAAGGTAGAGACCTATGGAATGACACCACCTGCACTAGTAGACACACCTTTACCCTGGAGAGAAAACCCAAAGATCCATCCAGTATCGATGAAGTACAAACCAAAGTACAGTACAGTGCATCTTCTGTCCCTTCAATATATTACTATTTTGAAATACATATCCAACAAACCCTGTGGTTTCAGCCTTCCACAGATTAAAACTGAAGCGAGAACAGCTGGTCTGCACTCATCCAGAGCATTAGGTTGTGGAATTTTAGGAATGTCCTCAGCTGGATGAACTGCAGAACAACTGAATGCCTTTTGTCAAAGCTGAGGTCAGAGTCAAAGATGAGACCAAAGATTTGGGCAGGAGCTCTGACAAATTACCCGTCTAGTAGTAGTAGTAGTACATCATGCTGTATTGAAGAAGACTTGAACTAGAGATTGAGACCATAAACTCATGTTTACTGAGGTAATAAATCAAGAGAGAAGTAGAGTCATTTTCACTTCCGCATCGGCTTCACTCGGCAGAACCGGAGGTTGCCACCTGGGGCTACCGTGGTGCTAATGTCAGCTCAGTATAGCAGCTACGTGGCTCTCACGCTAACGAGCTGCAGCGTGCTCGGTTGGGGTGTGTTAGATAAACGTACCTGACCATCTTTAGTGCCATTTCCACATCACCTTATAGTATCTTAAATGGGTACACCAGCCAATTCAAAGAGAAATACATCTGATAAATTACAACTTTGTTTTGTGCATGTGTTATTGAAAATGTATATACATGTTAAATATTTAATAAATGAGACCAAAAAAGCTAGCTAGCTAAGCATCAGTAAGAACAAACTAAACGTATGCTAGCCTTTCATATTAGATTCAAAGTAATACGTAGACTACAATTATCCGAATAATATGAATATTCAGGCTCCCTCATGTGGCCCAAAGGTGAACTGCACATATACATGTCCAAGAAAACACTGTGGAAGAAAGTCAGCTGATTTATTTGGCGACCCTGATAAAATATCCTGCGACCCACCTGTGGGCCCCCAACCAGTATTTGGGAATGACTGCTCTGTGTTGAGGACATTCTTCCCCCGTCGCAAAAGCACGGTGGCCATCGCACATCACTACTTAAGAGCACATGAAGAATATTTAGTCTTTTTTTGTTGTGGTTTCATTCAGAAATAAATAACGCAACACAAAAGCAGTGACGGCACTCACTGTGTGAATGAAGCCATTCAGGAACATTTGCTCAATAGAGACCTTTGTCCTAATAAATGTCTCTTTATGGGATGGATCAGGAGGATTTGTGCCAATTAAGTAACATCTGGTTTGAACTTTGCCCCCCTCCCACCAGGATCGTGGAGAACGGTCAGGAGCGGGTAGAGGTGGAGGAGGACGGCCAGCTGCGGTCACTAACCATTAACGGCAAGGAGCAGCTGCTGCGACTGGAACACAAGTGAAGACGGAGAGCGCCCCCTGCTGGAGAAGCGTTACCTCAGCACAAACAGACCAACAAACTTGAGCTTGGAACGGAAGGAAGAGGAGGAAGAGGGAAAAAAAGCAACAAAACAATGTAATAATAGTGCTCTACTGTTGTTTGGATGTACATAGTTAGGTTTGTGTTTATTTCCCCTCATGTCCTCTGTCCCTGCTGACTCATTTGTTAATCAAAGGGTCGAATCCCAGGATTTGGACGCAGACTTTTCTATGCATTTTTGTTAATGTATTTGTGAATTGGAGCTGTCCTTATATTTTGGCTCAGGGTGGTGTTATTGTTTCAGTGTTTGGGACCACAGTTTTGCTCTGATGTATGTCCCCCCCCCCCCCCCCCTCTCTCTCTCTCTCACACACACGTTCCTGTATGCACTCCACTCAGTGTGTGTGTGATGGCACACACACACTGCGTTCAGAAAACAAAGCATGACTTTTGCTTTTTCATCTGAATAGTAAAAAAAAAAGTGTTGCGTTTGTTTTTGTTTTTTTTTTT